GCTTTATATTTCACTCAGAAGGAAACCTGTAAGTAGGTCTTATTTTTGGAGGATGTCTTATTTTTGGGGAAACATGGTATATGTAATATTTTAAACAATAAAAAAATATTTAAAAAATAAAATCAATAAAAACATACCCCAAAAAAGTGACAAAGAGGAGAGGGGAGATGAAGGTCCTACAGATCACCTTGCCCGCAGCGCCAAGGACAGCCGTCATTATGGGAAGGCAGCAATAGTAATTACCTACCTGCGTCACTATGGCATTTTATTACAGTCTAACTTCTTCTAACGGGAGCCAAAGACAGGACTACCCAAGATGGAGGACTTGGGGAGAAAGCTAAGGAGAGCACCCAACCCTGCGTGACCTCCCCGCAGCCCAGGAGGGAGGATTCCTCCATCCAGCATGGCCCGTCAGTGCTGGGGCCCCAGAGTCACACTGGACGGGGCGAGTGCCAGCTCCTCCACCAGCACCTGGAAGGGGTGACTCAGTTTCCTCACCTGTAAATGGGGCAATGACAGCAGCCGCCCTAAAGGTCTGAGGGTGAGGATTAAATGCAGTAAGAAGCCTGGCACACAGCCCCCAATAGTGCTTGGCCACGGGCGCCGCCTGTGGAGGTCCATGCCAAGTCTCACCCCTCCACGGAAGCGCCTCCCACTTCCACTCTGAGCTTTTGGAGCACTCGCCATCTGGCCCACAAACTTATTGCCTCATTATATACCGTCTTGAAACAATTAGGGAACGATTCAACACAGCATAATAAAGTGCTGAACTGAATTCCATCACTTCCTTCCTGCTCTGAAACACGTCTATTCCAAACTCCACAGTGTGCAGTGCATGCTAGACACACACACACACACACACACACACACACACACACACACACACAGATAGGTCTCAGCCGAGAGGACTCTGGCCCAAGTACCCAGCCCTCAGCTTGGGGCTTGCAAGCTCTTTTCTCCTGTGGTCGTGCAACCCTCTCACTGGGAAGCCCCTGGCCACCAACGTGAAGCCGAGCTGCACAGGGAGATTGCTGTCCCAGGAGCAGGCAGCCTTGGTGAGTGACAGCGTGGCCAGCTCTGCTCCGTCCGAAACCCAGAGGGAAGTGCCCCTGAAGCTGCCTTTGCACACCACCCCGTGCCATCCTATTCCAGACCAGGATGCCCGAGGCTGTGCAGAGCCTGGGAGAAGCGGCCGCCGAGGCCAGCCTGCGAGGCCACTTGTGGGCTGGTCTAAAGTTAAGAGGGCCCAGGTCCAGCCCAGCTCTCTGGGGCAGGGGTGGAGGGGGCTCCTTGGGGTTAGAGGGATGCCTGAGCAAATGCAGAAGGGTTTATGCAAACTGGAGGAGCGTTCTCCGTGTGGGGAATGATAGAAATAGCCCTCTGCACAGGTACATCTCACAGAACGTCCAATTAAAGAGCTACCAGGGAAGGCTTCAGGGAGGAGGTGGGGCAGGAAATGGAAACTGTAGGGAGGACAGGACTCGAATGGGGAGCAGAACGCAGTTGGCTGAGTGGAGACCTTTGTGCTATGGCTCTGGGCCAGGCTGAGTTCGTGCCTGAGGGACTCCTGCTCGGCTGCCCTCAGCCCCTGTGACTGGGGGGTCTTTTCCCTGGGATGTCCTGAGGCAGGGGTGCAGCACTGCCTGCCCTGCAGGACCAAGTCCACAAGGACACTGCTGCCTCCCACCATCCTCTGAGTGGTCACTGGCCAGGTCAGAGTGGTCAAAGCACTCAGCTGGCCCAGGAGGACAATGCTGCTTCCTTTCTCCTCCTCCTCATCATCAACCTTTCACAAACTTGTGAAGCTCTGAGGGGGGTACCTGGGAGGGTTTCTCCATCAATTATTGCAGAAGTACATAATCTGCCTTCCTGCCTTCTCTCCTTATACAGCCCTGGCCTTCACCTCTGTCTCCCTCTCCCACCGCTGCCACGCAGAACCCAGGCCACCCTACTACCTGTGCTTCTCCGGAGAACGTCCTATGACCATTCCAAACTGTGAACGGGTCTGTGATTTCCAAGCGTATTCCCTGTCCGGGGATTAATGTTCAGAGACAGTGCCAGGAGAGGACAGGGTGTAATCCAAAGGAATAAATCTCTAAGGGAGAATTCAAGGACAGGGACATTGAAGTCTGCTTTCTTATCAATGGCCTTTACCAGGCCCCTGCCTCATTCCTTCTTCTACTCAGCTGACATGAACTGAGCACCTGCTGCGTGGCCGGTGCTGAGCACTCAAAGATGGAGAGGCACAACAGTGGGGAGATGGAACATCAGCACCTGACGTGAGAACTGCCCAGGAGCTTCCTGCTTCTTCAAAGCGCCCACTTAACTAGAAGCACTTGCCAATTAAAATGTATTCCTATCTGCTCATTAAAGCAGTACCCCTAAGGCACGTACTGGACAACACGTTGAGATTAATCTTGAAGTTAGTGAAGCTAAATGTCAATGTACGTCTTATCACTCACTACCCAGCGCGGACTGGACTCTCCCCAGCTCATGTCCAACGAGAACCCCTGACCAGCGCCTTCATGAGCACTCTCTCGCCTGCACTTCCTTTGTGGTCACTGGGACATGCTCCTTCTCCTCGTGGTCACTGGGTGAGTTTATGACTTGGGAGTCGTTTGCTTTTCTGCCCCTCTTTATCTTCTCGTTATATATGTGGCGCCTTCTGACTTCCAACTCTGTTCCACACTTCAACACACCACACAACTACACACACAAAACACGGCGAGTGCTGAGCTCCTCAGGAGGTGAAGGATACCACCGCCTGGTTACACACGCCAGCCACGAGCCCCGGGATGGCCTACTCCGCTCTGCAGGGTCCTTGCCAGGGCGCCCCCGTCCCGTCCTCCCCACCCCTGCCAACCTGGTGCCAGGAGCTGCCCTGCCCATTCTGAAGAAGGCGGAGGCTGCGCCTACACTGAGGTAGAAAAATCCCAGCCATATGGGTCAGTTCTGCGGTTTCTCACAGCTGTGGGTACTGCTGGGATCAACCGATAATTGGCATCTGAAATGGGAACTGTCCCAAAGCTGGGGACATGTGGTCATCCCATTTCTAAGGGAGTCCTTGGGGCAATGGCTGTTCTCCAGAAGGAAATCAACTCAGCTGGTGACAACACAGAATAAAGATGTCTTAACTCCCCACCAGCCCGACATGCTGGGGTCTCTGACCCTGAGCCCAGCTGACAGGGCAGGAAGGCTGCCCAGTCCCTGAGGGAGGAAGAGAAAAAGGGGTGACAGGAGACAGACTGCAGAAAGTAAGTGGAGGAGAGAGGCAGGAAATGGGACAGAGGGAGAAAAACTGGGACAGTGGACCAAGAAAGGGTGGCAGAAGGAAAGGGAGAGCGAGCATAGGTGAGGCAAGAGAGGCAGCGAAATCAGAGGCAGCACTGCAGGGAGAGAGGAGCTGCTGGCAGTGGGGAAAGCTGGACACAGCCCTTGTGCAGTGGTCGCAGCCCCTGTCCAGGGGCAGCTGCCCAAACCGGCCCCCAGGAACCAGTCCCATCTTGCTCAGTGGGTTAGCACTTTCCACGGAAACCTGTTCACGAGCTCTGAACCTTCCTAGGCAGGCAGACACTTGCTGATGTGACAAGTCCACCCCCATCTGCATGGGCAGGTCTCACAGCAAAGGGCCTATGCTGGAGCCTCAAAATTTGGAAGGAACAACTCTGGGCTCCTTACTCTCGCTGTGACATCCCAGGGCTAGAGGCTGGCCACAGCCCCCAGCATACACCTGCGGGAAGACCTGAGCTCCTGACAGGCACTGACTTTGGTCCCGGCCCACAGGCCTGTCTGTGGATACCTCCCCCACTGAGTGCTTATATTACAGTCATATCTTTTATCTTCCAAAGCATTGGACAAAATCGTGCACACTGGGGGTCCCTGAAGAACACACTGCTTCTCTGCAGGGGCGGTTTAGTGTTTTGGTGTCCGTATGAACAGACGCTCAGGCCTCTTTCCCAGGGCAACAGACTAAGAGTCAGCTGATACTTACAGATGCAAAAATGAAGGAACAAAACAATTTAACCAGCCCCTGGAAACCCTCAGCTGGCAGATTCCAGCCACACCCAATCCAAGCAGAGCGTGCATCCTGCTGGAGAATATTCTGTTTTCTTTCATTCAACAAATGATTACTGAACTCCCACTGCTGAGCATGCAGACTCTGAATCACTGATTTTTAGCTCCAAACATCACAGCAGATCGAGAAGAAATAACCACGTGATGGTAGGAATGTCAAATCTCAGTTGCAGTCTTTTTTTTTTTTAATTTTTTTAAAATATATTTTATTGATTTTTACAGAGAGGAAGGGAGAGAGACAGAGAGCTAGAAACGTCAATGAGAGAGAAACATCGACCAGCTGCCTCTTGCACACCCCGTCAATGAGAGAGAAACATCGACCAGCTGCCTCTTGCACACCCCCTACCGGGGATGTGCCCGCAACCAACGTACATGCCCCTCACCGGAATCGAACCCGGGACCTTTCAGTCCGCAGACCGACGCTCTACCACTGAGCCAAACCGGTTTCGGGGTCAGTTGCAGTCTTGATGGAAATGGTGCTTCCCCAGCCAAGGTCACCCTGGCCAGTGGGCAGAGCCATCGGAACCGCCTTCATGGTGGGATTTCAGAGGAGCAGGGAGCCCAACTGCCACCCACCCCTGCTGCCACCCCCACATACCTGGACACACCTGCAGGCTGATAGTCCAAATCCCTGCGGCAGGTATGGACTGAGGCCCCACCTCAAATGGAGGCCTGAGGCCCAGGCTTCTCCCAGCCCACCCCCAAGAGAAGGGGGCCAGTGAGTGCCTACTTGGTTGTGGTTGGGTCTTAGTCCTCAACGCTCATATCAAGGACACAAATCAGGACCCCAAGTTGCAGTGAGCTTTGAGCCACTGCGCCAAGCTGGCTTCTTCCCGGAGGGCAACTCTGGGGGTGAGCCATGGGGTGGGGGCTGCAGGGTCACCCCGAAGGCATCCCCCTCCCTGGTTATTCACCCGGGTCTGTACCTGGAGCTGGTGTCACTGCCGCCGGGTAACTCTGGGTCGTCCGTGACATTAAAGAGCCCCGTCCAATTGTCCAGCTGGTCGCCACTCTGCCAACCAAACTGGAGGCCTCTGGCAAGAGAACGAGGCAGTCGGTACTCATGCTCAGGTGCTGGGGGAAGCCTGTCTACCAGAGAGCCACATGCTGTCATGTGCCCAGTGGCACATGACTTCGATCAGACACTCAGTGGGGACGAGGGTGATGGCCAGCTGTGGGGACGATGATAATAAACCTTTGCAGGGTTCTCTGCTCGTCCGCATCCCCTCGTCGCACCTTTACCGGCAGAGCTGAGGTTTCCCATTGCACACACAGGAAAACTGAGGCTCAGCCAGGTCCAGGTCACCGTGCCTTCCTGCCTCCCAAGTGGTGGGGTCCCTCAGTTCCCGCCTCTAGAGACCTACCCCACAAGAGCCTCTAATCGCCACACTGTCCTCAGAGGCCAGACACACTGCAAAGCTTTTTCATGAAACCTAGGTTTCCAACCCAGGACACACCTCCTAGTTTAAGACGCTGAACTCAAAGCACAAGGTCCTCCCTGCTGCCTCCCCAAACCTGGCTGGAAGGATAGCAAAGGCATAAATAAGGACCTGGGCTTGAAGCCAGAGATAGCAGGGGGCTAGGGACAGCCCCGGGTGAGATGAAAAGCAGGTGGGGAGCCCTGACTGTTCCCCTCACACAACTCAGGAAGCCGGGGTGGTTCCATAGTGCCCTCACTCTCCCTTCACAACTCCCCTCGGACCGTTAGGACTGTGACACACTCTGGCTAAGCCATCTCATAACCACCCAACCAGACGTTAATATTTATGTTCCCTCAAAATGCTTCACCAGAGAGCGAAGTCGGAGAACAGAAGGGGAATGAGAAAAGCTGGGAAAGCGAGGGTGTGTGTCCTGCCTGGCAGGGTAAGTGCCTGAGCGGCAGTCGCCTGCTGCCAGTTGGAAAGGTAGGAAGAGAGTCATCCCCCACCCCCAATAAAATGGCACTGCACTCAGGTTCCCAAAAGGTGTTAGAAACTCAGACTTCACTCTCCCAAATTCTCCACGCTGACCCACTCATTCGAGCTTGAAACACGCCGTCGCAGACCAAATACTCCTAGCAGCCTGGCACCCCCAGGGCAGCTCCCTCCTTATAGCATCTTGCTGGATCCTGACCTTAGTCCTAAGAGGGAGACAAAGTGGGCCTCACCCATCACAGATGAGGAAACTGAGGCAGACAGTGGGAAGTGGCCGCTCAGCCAGCTCAGGACCTGGAACCCAGGAGTCTTGACTCCCAGTTCAGCTCCCTGGCTAAGAAAGTTCTGGCCCCCATCCCACACAGCACCCCTTGGGGTCCCTCAGCATGGCGGCTAGGTCAGTGACCTCAGCTGCCGCCTCACACACCAGAGGTGCCCACCATTGCAAAGGCCCCACAGAGGGAGCCGAGGTGGGAGCCTTCGGAGCTCTGCCTGCTTCACCCCATCCCTCCCACTCCACAAAGCATGCAATAGAAATGCAAATGACTGAGTTGCTATGATTACAAGGATAACCTTAAGTTTGGCTCCGTTAAAAAAAAAAAAAAAAAAAGGAGGAAAATCATTCACAAAACATCAGTACTTACCTTTCCTTGGGGGGGATAGAGGGGGTTAACCTATTACATTACTCATTTGTATCCTCTCTCCCCTGGTCCAAGAAGGGAGCTCAGCTTCATTACCTCTCTGACTTTAGGGCCATGGGGGTGTTGGGGCTGAAAGAAGCCCTGCTAGGCCTTTCTAAAGAGAAGCAGGAGGGCCTTCGAGCCTGGGGAGGACTGGGTGGACCACAGCTGAGCAGAAAGTTCCTCGGGCCCAGGAAGCCCCTCTGCTGTGGTGGCTTGGGGTTCCTCCCCTAGGTCTCCCCTTAAATGGACAGCAGGACCCATGGAGTCTTCGGGACCTCAGGAGACTAGAGCCAGGGCTCTAGAAGCCTCCAGAGAGTAGTGAGCAGATCGACTGAGGCTGGGGTGGCCTGGGGAGTCCCCCCAATCTCTGTTCCTTAGGAGCCTTCATGACCTTCATATGACCCTGAGCAGGAGAGAAGGCTCCTCAATAATGACGGGCCAAATTTCCCACCAGCTGGTGGCTAAGGTTTGGTCTTTTTCCTCTTAATCAAAAGAAAATGAGGCAATGAGCCATTTCTTTCAAACCGAGCTTGCAAAATGAAATGCATAAACACGCTTCTATTATTAATCAGCAAATCACTTTGCATTGTGCCTCACAGCTGACTGAAGATATCTTGGCTTTATCCATTCGTGCTATTTTTATTTTATTATATATGTATACATATCAAATATTCATTGTGTTGTATTGGTCTAAACTTATCGCACAGCCATGCCAGGCTGGGGGCTGGGGTTCAACGGTGAGCAAACTACCAGGAGCCCTGCCCCCGGATGCTCAGTTTCTACTGGAGGGAGACAGATGTAGCAATCAGGAACTAAGAGGTGACAGGATGTGTAATGGGTCAGACGGTGGAAATGCTGCAGAAAAAAAGGAAAGGGAGGCAAGGGGGGCAGGAATTTGGGGTGAGTAAGGGGTGCTGCTCCACATGGGGTGGGCTTCTTCCTGAGAAGGTGCGTCTGAGCAGGACACCAAGTGGCTGATGCGCCCGGAGGAGGATAATCTGTTGCAATGGCCCTGGGCGAGAATGCAGCTTATTCTGGGGCTGGCAAGGTGCTGCGGGCAGCTGGGGCTGAGTGGGTCAGGGACAGCTGGCAGGTGATGTGGCATCAGTTCAGAGATGCAGCGCCCCCTTCCTGTGGTCCCTCAAAGCCATCTAGGAGGGAGGTGGGCCCCATCTGCTGAGGAGCACCTGGGAGTCTAGTGCTGGGCCCTTCCTGGGGCACCCAAACTGCTCTTTTCTGCCTCCCACAGTGCTCTGCCCTCCGCAGGCCCCGGGGGAGGGGGGCAGGGGACACCTGGCAGAGAAGGTCAGAGCGGAAAGGCCCGCCAGCTAGGACACCTTCTCAGCGGGATGAATCGTCACAATGACCAGTTCCATGTGCCCCCACCTGTCCTGGCTCCTGACTCACTGGTGATTCATGATTTCCCTGAGAAGCATCAGATGCTAACATCCCCCACCCCACCCCCGCCCGAAGAACCTCAGGGGGAAAAGGAAGTGGGTTCATCCCCAGGGTTTGCCTATGGGGCCCTTCATTTGGGCAACAGAGAGGATGCTGAGTGAGGGCCTCTTGGGGAAGAAGAGGAACAGGCTACTTCTCAGGCTGGTCCCCATGCTCTCCATCCCCAGAGGGGAAAGGAGGAAGGGCAGAGCAAGTGGCAGGCCTGTAGATGGGAGAGTCTACAGGCAGCAGAGGACTGGCTTCTTTGAGAGACCCCGGCCTGCGACCAAGGTGCTGGTGAGCAGACGAAGGCCCCCCCCCCTTCTCCGGTTCTAAGGCCTGTGGTTGAAGCAGGACTCCAGGGGAGTCCAGAGCTGGCAGTGTCAGGATGGAGCAGTAATGGTGCACACAGGGGCACACAGCCATGGGAAGGGTCCAGAGAGAGAAACTGGACAAGCTCCAGGCACAGCTCTGGTACCACCTCCCCACCCCCTGCCTCTGTACCCAGAGGAACCTGAGCCCCTCCCCATAGGCCAACCTTCAAAGCTCCTTGGCCTGACATCCCAGACCTGCAGTGCCTGCCCAATCTCCCCTGGGGCCAGAGCCACACGCGTGGGCACCCAGACCACCCACTAATGCCAGGCCCCTTCCAGCTGCTCTTTGTTAAATAGTTAGTCAACATTGATGAGGCGCACACACCAGCCTTCCAGTTCTCCTCTGGCCCTGGGGCCCAAACTGTGATGGTACCTGGCTACTCACCACCCTGATTACCGTCTCTTCTGAAACCTACAATATTTATAATCTACGCCACACAACTATGAACATATTTGAACTGTCTTACGTATTTTTCATATTTGTCTCTTTCAGTGTTCTGGAAGTTCCTCAAAGACAGGAATCATAGCGAATAATTCTTTAGTAGCATTCCCTCTTCCCAGACACAAAGCTGAATGCTTTCTGGTGTTTAGAGAAAAGTTTTGGGACTCCCTTTGTATGCATCCATTCATTCAACCATGAATGTCAGGCACTGTGCTAAATCCTGGGAATTCAGGGATAAATACAACATCTCTTACAAGGGCCTTACAAGCTGTGTGGCCTTATACAAGTTACTCCCCCTCTCTGAGTATTAAGTGAGGATGATCATATCTTTTTAAAAGGACTATGGTGAGGATTAAATGAAATAATCCTCATTCAGGATTACCTGCTTAGGTCAGAGCCTGGCTCATGATCTCTTACTGGATGTTAATAATTAATATTTTTACCTGATGAATCCGTCACATGTATGGGGGGGATTGGGGTGGAGGAGGGGAATCTTTACACATAAGATTAAGGGCTAAATTAGAGAATTACTGGGTGGGAGATTATTAGATGAGAAGTGAATGGGCCTGGATAAGTCAAAGAGGAGAAGCCAGATCCTCTAAGTCTTAGAGTCTTAGAGTCTAAGAGGTAAACATTTCCAGAAAGTACAGATGTCAAAAAGAAACAGACTAGAAAGAAATGGGCAAAGGAAGAGAGTGAGAGGGCAGCACTGTGTCCCTGGGAGACACTGGGGAAGGGACAAGAAGCTACTATCTACTACTAGGGTCAGGACTAGAGTGAGCAAGCAAGGCTCCCAGGATACAAACGAGGGCGGCCCCATCTCAGACTCAGTTTGACATGCTTGACAGGGTCAGCACCCAAGAGGGAGCCTCCTTCAGTTTTGTCCCCTTGGTGCCTTGTTGCATCCCCCTCGTCCCAGCCCTGCAGCAGGTACTCGGTAAAAGCTTGCTCTGACCAGCAAAACTGTTGTTCGGACAGCATAGAAAAACCCCAGGTGGCTGTCAGCTCAGCTCCTTCCTCCTTTCTAGGGCACCCTCGCATTCCGGACCCACCTCTGCATCCATCCTCCATCCCATGGTCCCCATCTCCAGGGCTGTGCTGTTCCTCTGGGCGGTGGGACTGAAGTCTCTATCCCTGATGGGGGACATTGGCTTGGTGATGATGGCACTTGGAATACATACTTTGGACATAGCACCAAGTCAGGTTGTACTTTTCCTTGACCCAGTTTCTTAACCTCAAGTCTCAGGCCGGCACGCAGGCGGCCCAGATTGGCGCCCGGGAGGCACAGGAGAGGAAGGTGAGGGAAGACAGCACACCGCACCAGACAGTCCACTCTGCAAAGGTGGACAAACGTCCAGCTCAGCTCCTGGCCTGTGCAGCCACACAGAAAGCAAGAGGGCAGTGCTGTGCGGAGGTGCTGAGTCCTAGGAAGCCAGAGCCCGAAGGACACTGTGGGCTGGAGACCGGAGGAGAAGCAGGATTGGACTGGCAGAGAGGCGGCTGGGAAGCCAAGCAGTGGGGACACTGGGTGGGTAAAGGCACAGCCTCAAGACAGCCATGCTGTAGGTCTGAGACCCCTGCCTGGCTGACAACAGTGATGTTCTCCTTAAAGAGTGGGGCTCAGGCCCAGACTGACCCTGGAAGTGAGACTTATGTTTGGGGAGGAGGCACTGCCATTTCCTGCAACATGGCAGATGGAAAAAGCCTCCGTGGCAGGTGCCCCTTCGGGAGTAAAGGGTTCCTTCCTCACCTGCCTGGGTGCAGGGAGCTGGCACCCAGCTCTCGGGTCCTTCTGGGAACCTGGGAATTGTCTCAGGGGAGGAGAGTCAACTGGGCCAAGGTCACACCCTCTTCCAGAGGCAGCCCACATCCAGTGACTGAAACTCATTACAGAGGCATGAAGACCTGACTGCGGGTCTCCCTATGGGGTGGCCAGGGCCTTTGCGGGTACAGCACGTGGCTCAGTTTCTCCCGTGGCTCAGTATCTCCCTCGGCTCAATCTCCCTTCTTCAGATATAGATTCAAGAACACATCTTACTACTCAGCATGCTGCTCGCATCTCTGGTTGAGGGACTGCTTTCCAGGAACCCCTCAGCAAATCCCCACTAAAACACTGAAAGAACGCTTAAAGTGTGTATCGATGCCTTCCTAAATGGGGGAATAATCTGGCAAGGAACAAAGTAATAGATGAGTTCTAAGCCAATAGCTGCCTTAGGGATCTGCCAATCCCCATAATTCATGCCTTCCTTTTAAAGGCCATTATATAATTATAACAAACAAGTGCTAACCCAATGGAAGCTGTCTCACTATATTATATAGACAAAACATCTCAAAGCATTACTAGAAATAAAGTCACTATATTATAATAAAAGACTCTGTTCATTAGGAAGACGATAGATCTAAACTGTATGCATCTAATTGTATCACTCCAATCTGCACACACACAAAAAGCTGATAGGAGAAACTGATAAATCCACTATCATGGAGGAAGATTCCATCACACATCTTTTAAAAATTGATAGATCAAACAGAACAAACAGAAAACATCAGTAAGGATACAGAAGAATCATATTTTTTAAGTATACACAAAATAGTTACAAAAATCAACCACCTACTAGACCGCAAAGCAAATCTCAATAAATTTTCAAGGATCAACATTATAAATACCATGTTGTCCTACTACAATGCATTTGGGTTCAAAATTCAAAAAGATAAGTAAAGCCCTAGCCAATTTGGCTCAGTGGGTAGAGCGTGGGTCTGCAGACCAAAGGGTCTCGGGTTTGATTCTGGTCAAGAGCATGAACCTTGGCTGCAGGCTCCTCCCATGCTGAGCCCTAGTTAGGGCTCATGCAGGAGGCAACCAATTGATGTGTTTCTCTTACATCAATGTTTCTCTCTGTCTTCCCCTCTCCCTTCCTCCCTCTCTCCCTCCCTCCCTCTCTCTCTCTCTCTCTCTCTCTCTCTCTCAAAAAAAAAAAAAAAAAATTCAATGAAAAAATATCCTTGAATGAGGATTAACAACAACAAAAAGATAAGTGTTTGTTTTTTTTAAAGGAAGTATTTGGAAATTTTAGAGCATTTCTAAACTTATGAGTGAAAAAAAAGATAATAGAAATTAGAAAATACTTGAAATTCAAAATAATGAAAGTACTTCTTGTAGTTACTATGTGTATGACCTTGAACAATTACTTAGCCTCACTGTACCTTCGTTTCCTCACCTATAAAATGAGAGCAGTAATAGTATCCATTACTTGTTAGAATTCACTTGGACCAGGACCTGGCATGTAGTAATGCGATATAATTCTGAGTTGTTATCATTATTTCAAAATTGAATGGCTATAACTAGAGAACTATTTAGAGGACATCGCATAACCTTACAAATTTACGTTAGAAAATAATGAAGACTAAAAATTAGAGAGATAAGCATCCAACTTAAGAAGTTAGAAAAAGAACCGGCCTCGGGGTCAGGGTGGCTCCATGAAGTACTAACCAATGGTGAGGCCAAGTGCTGCAGGGTGGGTAGGACCACACATGGGAGAGGTGAGAGGAGGCGGTGCCACATCTCTGCGCCTCTGCTGCCGCCTTCTTTAGTTCTGAATGTGCCCTAACCCAAGCTTATCCTTCCCTCAAGGACCCACTCAGGTTCCACCTCCTCCAGGAAGCCTACCCTGACTACTTCAGTCCAGTCGTGCCTCCCTCCTCGGACATTTTAACATTTGCTTCATAGCTGTCCCGTGTGATCATTTTGTTTCCCCAAACAGAATTCAATCCCCCTGAACACCAGGACCACATCGTTCTGGCACCCTTCCAGAATCAGGCACATATAGGCTTTGCTTGCTTCATTGGATTAGCCAGGTCCCTGGAATAAGGCCATAGGAGGTGGCGTCTGAGACCTAGGGGCCCAGGGTCTCTGTGTGAGGGAGGATGAGAACAACTGGAATGCCCATTGAACCCCGAGCAGCTAGCCCATCCACCCAGGACCGGGGAGGGCTTGCCAGAGCAAGCAGTAGCAGTTGAGTTGACATTTGCCGTGGTCACTGATATTCTCCTACTTTTGATAAGACGGCAGGGATCCCTGTAGCCCCTTGGGTTCTGGGTAGGTGCCAGCAGGGGGCAGGAACCCAGAGCCACCTGCTGAGGAGCAAGTGCAGCAGGGGAGGGCTGCAGCAGGCTACGTGGAGCCCTGCTGTCCTTGACCACGGACATGGTTAGAGGGAGGGGGCAGTAACCAACTGAGCAAGCAGGCCCAATGGGCTCCAACAAGTCAGGACATTTTCGGGAAATGTCCTTTAAAGCCACAGCACCATGCTCTTCACCTCCCCCCAACCAGGAAGAACACAGACCAGAGTAGTGGCAGTCTGAAGCAAATGTCCAGACAAGGGACCTCACATCCCCAGCCCTGGTACATGGAAGGAGGTGGCTGGCTTTCCTACTGGCACCAGGGTCTCCGCAGCAGCCTCACTCTCCCACTCCCACGCGGGCGGCCCAGAATGGGGGCCACAAATGATGAAAAGAAGAATTGTTGTATTACTTGGAAGTTTAGGGGAGAAATGGGATGTTTACACCTCGAGAGAGGCGTGTTGTTTTCTATCAGCCTGGGGGAGGGACAGTGAGCAGTGAGCGTGGGGAGACACTGGCCGCAAAGGAGAAACCTCCAGCAGAAAAGAGAGGGGGGCTCTTTGCAAAGGAGGTTCTGAGAGGGGCTGGTTCCCCGGGTCCTGAAACCAGGCGGAGTCACTAACCCTAAGCTCTCCTCCTCAGCAGGCGGGGCAGAGCGGGCCTCCGCCTCCGTGACAAGTCCCACTGCTCTTTCCCTTAATGGAGTTTGCTTGTGGATGAGGGGATCAGGGGGGAGGAGGATGCAGAGAACAAGGAAGGGAGAGTTACTCTTGGGGCAGGTCTGACCTTCTTCGGAAGGATGGGAACGGACCGTCTGTTTCAGAAGGGGTCAGGCTGTGAGTTTCACAGACCCAGAGGGTTCTAAGTTCACCCTCGCTGTCGCATCGCATCAGCCCACTATCCCCCGACACTCCTGGGGTCCCCACCAGTTCAGGGCTCGCCAGGCAATCCACTCCGGTGTTGAGCCTCCCTCTCCCGGGAGTCTGCCCTCCAACCATATGACATGGCGCTGCAGATCTGGGGGACATCCATCTGGCCCCTGCGGCCACTCGGGACCGTCAAGCGGATTGACCGTCAGCGCGGCCACTCCGAATTCTAACCTGTCCCCAATTTGTCACAACCGAACAAAGTTGCTGCGCCCCTCGGGCGGGCCGCGCTGGGTAGGCGCTCTCTTCTGGCTGGGAGGAGAGTTGCGCTTTGGGGCACCAACCACCATGGCCAAAACCTACCGTAACGCGGAGGTGCCCAGGGCTAAGCGCAAACCCCACGGTCACCCACCCCCGGACGCGCCCGGCTGGACGCCGCAGACGCCACCGGGACTCGCCCGCGGGCTCCCCGCGCTCCCGCCCGCGCGCGGACTCTCTCACCTCTTGATGTAGTTCCTGCCGTATAAGATCTGTTGCAGCAAAGTCACCAGGGCAAAGGCGCAGATGAAGATGAAGAGCAAAGTTCGGTTCCCCAGCAAGTCCCTGTTCACCGAGGGGTCCGCGTAGCGCATCCTGGCGGCCACGGGCGCGCGGCGGGGCGTGGCGGGCGCTGGCGCCCGGGGTCCCCGCAATCGCGCGCGCGGGGGTCCGGGGGCGGGCTGCACTCGACCGACTAGGCAGTCAGGCGGACAAGGACTTCTTGGGGCAAAGTTTCCGGCTGGCGTAGCGGGCAGAGGGGGCGACCGAGCATCGCCAGCACCGGGGCAGCGGGCAGGGCAGGGCTGGCTGCAGGGAGCTCGGCGGCACCCGGGCCTTCCCTCCACCGCCTTCACCTCCACGCGCCGGTGCCCGGCATCTGCCGATTTCCCGGCGGCGAGGGGCAGCTCCCGGTGCCCCAGCGCGGGGCGGCCCCTCCCGGGAGGTGGCGGCCAATGAGGAGCGGGGCCGGGCGCCGTCCGCCCGCCCGTGCGGCTCGGAGCGGCTCGGAGCGCGCACACCGCCCCCTCCGGTCGGCCGGATCGCGGTCACCCTGCGCGGCGCCCGGCCCGGGAGCGCCGGGTCCGATCCCCGCAGCAAGGGAGCGCGGAGGTTGGCCTTCGGTCCTGCGGGTGGGAAGTCGGGGGACAGGACGCCCGGACAGTCTGGCTGTCGGGCGGTGCAGAGGGGGAGGGGAGCCGGGTTTGAACAGTAGAATTTAAAAAAACAAAAAAAATAAAAAACGGGGCAGGAAAGGAGAGGGAGGCGGGCTGCGGCGCCGGCTCGCTGGAGGGGAGCATTTGCATGCGGCGCGCCGGGCACTGAGTCACCGCGGCCTGGGCCCCGCGCTCGCGGGGAGGTTTCTCCGGAGGATGCGGAGCAAGGTCAGCCCTTCAAGGACGCGCGCGGCTCCTGCATGCTGATGGCCCCCGGCGCCCGGCTCCTGCCAGGAGGCAATCCTGGGGCTCTCACCTCCTCTCCCTCCCAACTGCAGCTCTTGGCTGCTCATCAAAGACCTTGTTGTCACCGAGACACTGGGACCTTGTCTCGTCGCTGGAACCACTCGTAAATCTTGGGCCGGGCATCTGGCCGCCTTCGAGTACCACAGTCCCCGGAGCGTTACTCAGTCCCTAAGTAGAGAGGTTTGTACTTCAAGAGTGCACACCAGGGAAAATAAACACAAATGCAGAGTCAAGACGTGCCTCTTCAGAAATTCTAACCCCTGAATGCGCTCCCCTTGCCTCTCCCGGCCTCCTCCCCATCCCGCCCCCAGGCAAGCGACAGCCCTGTCATCCCAACAGGCAGCCTCCCCGCGCCTGGGGGTCACGTGCCCGCGGGGCGTCGCCACTGATCCCTGGCTGGAAGATTCTGGGGCGCCCCTTCCCAGGGCCTCCAGTCTCTGGGTACAGGGAGGGTCTTCTAGAATCAGGTCAGGGATTCAACTCTGATAGCATCAAGAAAAGGAACTTTGGTGGAGAAGTGCCCGGACTCCAATGCTCTGGCCTTGGCATTTAATAGTTACCTCTTTTAAAAAAAAAAAAAAAAAAAAAAGTGTATTTTTATTGACTTCAGAGAGGAGAAAGAGAGAGAGAGAAAGAGAGAGAGAGAGAGAAACATCAATGATGAAGGAGAATCATTAATGAGCTGCCTCCTGCACACCACACACTGGGAAGGGAGCCTGCAACCCAGGCATGTGCCCTGACCAGGAATCAAACGGTGTTCTCCTGGTTCATAGGTCAATACTCAACCACTGATCCTCGCTGGCCAGGCCAGATAGGGTTTTTAACTAAAAGAATAAGACATAAACATTTATATGGCCCGTTATTATAACAAACCTGATATTTGTTTGTGTCTTACACATCAAAAGTGCTTGCTCTTGCATATATTATGAGTTCATTCGCGCATCCTAGCCTCTGGCTCTCCTACCAAGAAGTCTTTGGAGTCAGAAATGTGGCTCTTTCTCCCATGCAGACAGGCAGGGCTGGCTCCCTGCGGGAGGAACCAGTGCCTACTCTTAACCCCACTCTTGGCTTAATGATCCATTCTTGCAGTCTTCCAATTCATGATAAGTTTTTTGAACAAGGAAATCCTCACTTCACTTTGCCCTGGGCGACACAAGTTATATGACAGGTCCCAGTTGGCAGAGTTCCCATTTTTTTACCTAGCTGGTCCTCACCTGCAGAGTTCATGAGTACCAGCATCATCTCTCCAGGCAAGGTACCCTTGTTTCTCTATTTTCCTCTTTATATTCTCCACCCTCATCAGGCACCCACTCTGATAGTTGTCTCTAAATGCATACTTCCTTAGGAGGGGAGAAGGGTAGAATCTATATGAAAGTAATAAATCCATATTATTCTTAAAATATACATCTTGCTGTGTTTTCATAAGCTGAACACACCCATGTAACCAAGTCCAAGACCAAGAAAGAAAAATTCAGCCCCCTGCCCCAAACTCCCTCCTTCCTTTTTCTAGTTACCATGGACTCGTGGTAGCTACTATTTGACTTCTAGCTTCAAGGATCAGTGCTTCCTGTTCCTGTACTTCATACAAATGACATCGTGCATTAGATATACTTTCACATCTGACTTTTGTTCACCACCAATTGTGATTCATGCACATGTTGTGTGTGACAGGCAGAGGTTCGTAGGATGGCCCTCAAGATTCCATCAGCCTCTCTTGTACACACACCTTCTGGAACATTAGTCAACCGGATATTCACTGGGTGCTGCTGTAACGTCCTCTCGCAGATGTAATTAAGGCCAGTGTTTGAGGAGACTGTTCTCAATGGACCTGATCACATGAGTCCGTGGCTTTTCTTGGAGAAAGAGATTCGAAGTATGAGAGGGATGGACACGAGGGAAGTTCTACATTGTTGGCTTCAAAGACAGAGGGGTCCACATGGCAAGAGATGCTGCTGGCCTCCAAGAGCATAGACAGGTCCTGGCCCACAGCCAGCAAGGAAATGAGAGCCAGTCCTCCAATCACAAAAAACAACCTGGATAAGCTTGGAAGAGGATTGTGGATGAAAAATGGCAACATACCAACCCTGGCAAGCTCAGGGGAGGCCTGTGTGGGGCCCTTACAGACTCAAAGACCAAAAGGAACCACATAGAATGGTCTGAACATAAAGATTCCTAATTAAAAGAAAGCCATGGCAGCAGGCACATCCTAGGCCTGATACTTCCTTGACAGAAATAAATCTTTATTTTTTAAGTGACCCTGTCTATTATCTTTTTGCACCTAAGAATGTCAGATTAATTTCCTTTTCCAGACCTTTTCCAGGGTGTACCCTCCACACCAGAGAGGCCACAGGACCTCTCATTGTTTTCTTGTTCCCCCAAATGCCATCTCTATGTGCTGTAACTATTGTTAACTATCCTATACCCACCCATGTAAGAGAAGTGTTTATCTCTTCGTTTTACTCTACCACCAATGTATTTCATGTAACTCCCCTTACATCTTCTTCTTTGATTCTAATATTTAAAATAAGCTGTAAAACAGCCATTCTCTGGAGCATTTTGCTTCCCGGCAATTGATTCAAATAAAACTCATAAAAAATTCTCCAGGTTTTGACTTTCATACTTGGATAGGATCCTGCGATCCGGCCACCCACACCTTAACTTTAGCCCATGAGGCCCTTAGCATAGACCCAGATTTAAGGCCTACACACCTGTGAGCTGGAAAATGTGCTTTATTGTCAGCCCTAATTTTGTCTTTTGTAGTTTGTATCATTTGTTTCGTAGAGATAAAACACTAGCCTATGTGTTATGGTTTAGATAGTGTATAGACACAGAGTATGTTCCATTTTATTGCTATACAGTGTGCCACTGTCGGACTGCACATAACTTCTTCACCCAATCTTTCTGCTAATGGACACGGGTAGTTCCTGCCATGAATTTCCAGTGCATGTCTTTTGCTGGGTATTGGTATTTAGAAGTGAAATTTCTGGGCCATAGAATGTGTGTATGTTCAGCTTTAGTGACTACTACCAAACAGTTGGTCCCCACCCTCACCAACACGATCATTAACTGGATAGACTAATCGCAAACAGCCCACTGAGCCACGAGCCAAAATAGCCCAGGGAAAGTAATAGCTTTGAATCCTGGCACTGACTCCCCTCTATGGCCAGGTCAGCCACACGCATTAGCAGTGAAGAAGACGGATGCTGACATTCTCGCAGTTAGAACCTCGGGGCAGTCTGCAGTGTGGGATGAATTTGGATCACTTGCTTCTCTGCAAACAACCAGCACTGTCCAGCGCACCTCTGCTGACGCTGCCCTTCTAATCCTGAGGGTGTTTCAAATCTGACTGTCTTCACAGCAAGTCAAAGAAGCATCTTACTAACATGCACACACATACAAGCATCTGGGGTGGGTCAGACCCCAAGATCTTGAAACATGGAGGTCTGTAGTCCCCGTTGTTACTGTTCACATGGATCTGGTTCCCTTTCAAGCCGAAAGCATATTCTGATTGTAGAGCTGCCGCAAACACTCAGCAAGTCTTGCAAACAAAGGAGTAAATACATGCCTTAAGCACCAGAGTCAGCGAACACCATTTTACACCCTAATTGCCAGAAATGGGGACAGCTGCGTCATTGTTTCAGACACACACTCGCGCACAATTAAGCCAAGAACACATGTCAACACTGGCACAAGCTGCTAAATTGCTGATAACTGATGGGCGCTGCTCACGCTGTGCGCACTGTCTCCGATATAAAATGGAAAGACTTCTTTTTAACCAGGACCTCCGAGGTTTCTGCTGGTTTAAGAAAGCCAGGTTTTGTGTCAGATGGCCAGATTATGTAAGTGACAGCCCACCCACGTATTCAAGGAGTTTGTGATAAGAACATCATGCTGTTCTTGTGCCTCTTTATATTTGCGTTAACAAGGCAAGCTTCAAGAGGCTGACTTCTGGGGTGGGGACGCTTTGCCTGTGAGGAGGGGCTTTTGCAGCCACTAAACAGAAATGCCCCTGACAACCCCATACTTGAGAGCCAGGGTCTGCCATGGTCTGGTCAACTGCAGACACTGGACTCTCCTTCATCAGCCTTGTGTTCAATAAGTTATTATTACCAAATAGAACTGTCATTTAAGCC